ACACACACACACACACACACACACACACACACACGCACATTACACGACACCACACGACACACACACACACACACACACACACAAATCACACACATTACACGACAATCCCCATGTGGAATGCAACGACAGCCGTCATCATGGCCAGCACACCGCCACCAACAGCGCTGTTCACGACAGCAAGTGCAGGAGTGGCTGCGGCGGCGGCAGACGTGGCTTTGGTCGTCGTCGTCGTCGTTGCTGCGGTGGTGGTGCTGCCACCAAGGCCTGAGCAGAGAAGTTCAAGGTTGATGGTGTATGGCACGCGCGCACCAACGCTCAGGTCATACCCGTGCACGAGCAGCATGTATCGCCCGCCACCGCCATCTGTCGCCGCGTCCGCATACACACGCACGCGCTCGTTGTCCGTCGTGGAGTCGGAGGAGGCTGCCACATCCCCGTTGGGCGAGAAGAGCACAATGTCCAGGTCGCCGGCCGTGTCGTGGTCAAACAGCACCTTGACCGTGATGAGGCCGGTGCCGCAGGCTGGGAGCAGGTAGAAGTCTTGGTCGTCCATTGCATCACGCTCGTTCACGGGGCCGCACACGTGCGCGCTGATGGAGGTGACGCCGACCGGGATTGGCGCAGCCGTCTCGGGCGTGTCGTTGTACTCGTAGTCATCGGCGCCGCACGTCGCGCTGCAGTTGAGAACCACTTGCATGCTGTACGTGATGGTGGTGTTGCCGGTCACCGCGGACCCAGCCCCGCTCACAGACACGTACACGCGCTCGCCAACACTGGGGCTGTCGTAGAGAATGTACACCACGTTCGGGGTGAGCATGCTGCCTGTGGCGCGGCGTCCACCGTCAATCAGCGTCACGTTCACCGTCGCGTTGCTGTTGCTGCCTCCCGTGACATCAATCAGGCTGCCGCTCTGCTGGTCGTACATGTCAAACCGCACCTTCACGAGCACGCTCCCGCGGCCGCCAGCCCCTGCACACATGTCCACCGCATACACATCCACGTCGCTGTCACTTCCGCCGCAGAGCGTGGCGTTGAAGTTTGCCACCCCGCCCACCGTCGTCACGCTGGTGGCCGTGTCGGGCGTGTCGTTGGGTTCATCAAGGTCGTTCGCGCACGACATCATGGTGGTGTTGTCGCCGGGGCAGGCCACATCAACGCGCAGCTGGTACGCGCCCACGTCGAGCGGGCTGTACGGGTACACCACAACATAGTGCACGCTGGCAACGCCGGTGGTGTCGGTCGTCTGCACGCGCTCGCGGTCGCCCGTCGATTCACTCGTGTCAACGGTGTCGCCGCTCGCGTCGAGGAGCACCATGTCCAGGTCCGCCTGCGACCCGTCAAACAGGATGGAGGCCGTGATGGTGCCGTGTGCGCACACGTCCACGCTGTACGCGTCCACGTCGCGCGAGCACACGCTGGCGCTGATGACGCCGCTCATGCCGCCCACAATGTCAAGCTCCGTTGCAGCGGAGAGGTCGTCGTTGGGCTCAAACGCGTCAGGCATGCAATTGCCGCTGGCACCGTTGGCCGTCGCGTTGCAGTCCAGCAGCACGCGCAGGGTGTATGGCGCAACGGCACCGTCGTACCCAAACACGGACACGGACACGCTGAGGTTGGTGGCATAAGGGTTGGCAAAGGACAAGTCTTCCTGGTCGTTTGCGCTTGCAGCAAAGTCGATGGCATCAAGCGAGTGCCCACTGAACAACGCAGCGTCAATGTCGCCAACGCTGTGCGTAAACAGAACAGACACGTTCAGCACGCCGCCCGCACACACGTCCAGCGTGAAAAAGTCCACGTCCCCGCGACACACGGTGCCGCCCACCTCTGTCGAGTACGTCAGGCTCGCGTTGCCACTGCCCTGTGCCAGGGTGAGCGGCGTGGCCTTGGTGGCGTCATTGTTGGGCTCGTACCCGTCGGGCGTGCACGCAAACGTCACCGGGGTGGTGGTGGCGACGGTGCTGGTGATGGCGGCCGCATCTGCCGCGTTGGCAATGATGCCGTCAAGCTCGTACTGGCCGATGGACCCGTAGTCGCTTGTGAACACGGCGGGGTCGCCTGCGCCTTCGACGGCCAGGAAGTACGTGCCTGCAGGCAACGCGCCGCGGTCAATCTGCGCCGTGGAGGTGCCGCTGGGGTTGCTGCTTGCAAGCACCGTCGTGCCGTCTGTGTCGTACAGCGTAAGCTTGATGTCGAGGTTGTTGCCCGGGTTGTCCTGGCTGGCGTACCACGGCACGGCTGTGACAATGATGCCACCGTTGGCATCCAGCACCACCGCCCACCAGTCTGCGTCCGTGCGCGTGGCAATCACGCCGCTAGCGGTGAACCCGACGCTGTCGCCGGCCACCGCCGCCTGCGAAGTGTTCACTGTGACCTGCGCAGCCGTTGCTGCCGTGTCCCCTGCCTCGTCAGCGACGGACCCAAACTGGTCGGTGATGATGGCCACGTCGTCTTGGATGTTGGTGGCGCCGCTGTACTGCCCGTTGCTCCACTGCGATATGGCCCGGTCGTACCTGCGGGATGGAGGAAGGGTGTGTGTGTGTGTTGTTTGGTGGGGGGGGGGTGTGTTAGTTTGCGTGTGTTTGCGTGTGTTTATGTGTGTGCGTGTGTGGTTATGTGCGTGCGTGAGAGAGAGAGAGAGAGAGAGAGAGAGAGAGAGAGAGAGAGAGAGAGAGAGAGAGAGAGAGAGAGAG